GAGAAGAGATATCTTCCCTGCTGGTTCACTCCCAAATAGATGCAGCAGTGTGGGCCGGGCCAGGCCAAAGCTTGGTCTCCCATGTGTTTTGCACCAATCTAAGCACTTGGACCATCTTCTGCTGCCTTCCCAGGTGCACTAGAAGGGAGCTGGATGAGAAGCAGAGCAGCTGGAGCTTGAACCAGCACTCATATGGGATGCTGGCATCGCAGGCTGCAGTGTAACCTCTGTGAAACAACGCTGGCCCTGAAATTTGCTGTAATCATGACAGCTAAATCTGGTTGTTGGAGCCATCAGTGATCAGTATTCTACCTCGATCCTTTTTATGTTTTCCAAAGTCATTTTCTTAGAATGGTATGCATTACTTGGAAGTCTGAGAGACCTCACTGTTAGCTTATGTGATATTGTAAAAACATATTCCTATCAACAAGGTGAAAAACAACACAGAAGGGAAAAAAATATTTACAAATCACCAGCTATGAATAAAGACTTTTTACAACCCAACATTAGGGCTGGCGCCGCGGCTCACTAGGCTAATCCTCCTCCTTGTGGCGCCGGCACCCCGGGTTTAGTCCCGGTTGGGGCACCGGATTCTGTCCCGGTTGCTCCTCTTTCAGTCCGGCTCTCTGCTGTGGCCCGGGAAGACAGTGGAGGATGGCCCAAGTGCTTGGGCCCTGCACCCGCATAGGAGACCAGGAGAAGCACCTGGCTCCTGGCTTCGGATCAGCGCGGTGCGCCAGCCAGAGCGCGCCGGCCGCGGCAGCCATTAGGGGGTAAACCAACGGTAAAGGAAGACCTTTCTCTCTCTCTCTCTCTCTCTCTCTCTCTCACTGTCCACTCTGCCTGTCAAAAGAAAAAAAAAAAAAAGAAAAAAACACACATAAACCAGTTGTAAAATAGGCAAAGGATGTGAACAGACATTTCTCCAAAGAAGATAGGACATGCAGCAAAGATTTGGAAAGATACTCATTGTTAGTCTGCAAGTTAAATCCAGTATGAAGGAACATTTCATACTAGGCTATTTCTAAACAGAAAGACGACATGGGTGGGCATTTGGCACAGCAGTTAAGATGCCAGTCGGGATGCACACATCCCGTACTGTAGTGCTTGGGTTTGGTTCTGAGATTCCAGCTTCCTGCTGGTGTACACCTTGGGAGGCAGTAATGATAGCTCATATAGCTGGATCCCAGCCACCCATGGAGGAAACTTGGGCTGAGTTCCAGGCTTCTGGCTTCAGCCTGGCCCAGCTCCAGGTGTTGTGGGCATTTGGACAGCGAACCAGCAGGTGGGCAATTGCTCTCTCTCTCTCTCTCTTTCTCTTGCTCTTGCTCTCTCTCAAATAAGTAAGTATATAAACATATTTTTAAAAGAGGACAATAACTACTGGCAAAGTTTGGCCGCTGACCCATTGTTAAAGGGAACATGAAGGAGTGTGGTAACTGCAGAAGAGCTTGGTAGTTCCTCACAAAGGTAAACATAGTATCGTATAACCTGGATCTATACCCAAGAGACACAAAAAACGTGTTCTCAAAGACTCAGGTACATGGATGTTCATAGCAGCACCATTCATAAGAGCCAAGAGTAGAAAGAACCCAAGTGCCCATCAAAGGATAGACAAAATGTGGGATGCATGTGAAGTGGAATATTATCCAACGGTAAAAAGGCATGAAGTGCTGATGCCCTTTGAGGCTGGCATCCCCTGGGCCCCAGTGCCAGCCCAGCAGGCTCCAGACCCTCTCCTGCTGAGGGAACTCCCACCCCTGCCTTCCTGTGCAGAGGGCTCCTGCAAGCTGAGGTCCTGTACTCAGAGGAAAGTGTCAAGGGACAGGACACTGAGGGAGGACACATGTGCCTGTGACACGTTCGGAGTTTCAAGGCGGCAGGGGGACACATGGGGGAGGCCGAATTTTATCTTTAACTTTTCAGGAGTTTTTGATTCAGCTTGCAAATTAAGCCCTAAGACATACCGAGAGCAGTAAACTACTTAACACTTGTTTTACAGGCACTGGAGCCTTCAGAGGAACCGAAGACCCACAGCTGCAATGAGCGATGATCACAGGTATCCGATTAAGAAAACGTGACAAGGCCAAGAAGCTTGGGAGAGGGCCGTTAACTGGGTTCGAGAAGTGGCTGAGGGAAGAAGGCTGGGTCTAACAAGGTTTATTTTCGCCTGTTTCCCTTGGCCTCATCTTCCTATCTGTGATAAGAATATTTTTCCTTCTGGTGTAGGTAGCACATCTCTCACATGAGAGTTTCATCTGAAATAGAAGGAAGGTCAGAGTGATCTTGTAGCAGCTGCTTTAAAAATGCCTTTAACTCAAAATAGCCAAAGAGGTACAAAGAGGTGCCAGAGAGGTACTTAAAAAAACACCCAGATTTGTTTACTTATTTGAAATGCAGAGTTCCAGAGACAGAAAGGAGAGAAGTCTTCCATCTGCTGGTTCCCTCCCCAAATGGCTGCAATGACCAGGGGCCTGGAACTCCATTCGGCTCTCCTACATGGGTTCGGGGGCCTAAGTGGTTGGGCCATCCTCCATTGCTTTCTCAGGCACCTTAGCAGGGAGCTGGATCAGAAGTGGAGCAGCCAGGATTGGAAGCAGCGCCTAAATGGGATGCCGGCACTGCAGGTGGCTTACTCGCTGCGCCACAGCCCTAGCTCCAAGAGGGGGAGGCACTTTGTAAAACTCCTTCAAGCAGATGCAACAAAATGAGGAGACAAAGGTGAGAATGGTGGCAGCAAGCTCAGTGTGTCAAGTCTCTCTCAGGAGGCAGCAGTAACAGGAAGGTAACCAAGCGGTATTTCTGTCATGGAGTTATCCTCTTAATTAAAAAAGTACCATGGAGTAAAGGGATTTCCAAAAACCTTTCATGGAAACTGGCTTAGTGTGAGTGATAATCCCTCAAGGCTCTTCACTCTGAGCCACCCACAGTGAGGCTTGGGTTCACGAGCAAGTTGGTGCTTACCTCGGACTTTAGATGCTGCTGTGTCTTTGCTGTCCCTATGCTCACAGAGCCTTTTTTTATTTTTAAATTTTTTTCTTTTAATTTATTTGGCAGGTAGAGTTACAGACAGTGAGAGAGAGAGAGAGACAGAGAGAAGGTCTTCCTTCTGTTGGTTCACTCCCGAAGTGGCTGCTACGGCTGGAGCTGCGCCGATCCGAAGCCAGGAGCTTCCTCCTGGTCTCCCATGTGGGTGCAGGGCCCAAGCACTTGGGCCATCCTCCACTGCCCTCCTGGGCCACAGCAGAGAGCTGGACTGGAAGAGGAGCAAGTGGGACTAGAACTGGCGCCCATATGGGATGCTGGCGCCGCAGGTGGAGTAACTAAGTGAGCCACGGCGCCGGCCCTCACGGAGCCTTTAAAAAAAAAATACTTATTTGAGGCCAGGTCTGGGGAAGGGAATGCAGAGAGTCAACCTACCTGCTGATTCATTCCCCAAAACTCTACCCCAATGGCAGGAACTATGCTGGGCCTCCCTGCCAAAGCTGGTAACACAAAGCAGGTGTCCCATGTGGGTGGCAGGAGCCCAATCATTTGAGCCATCAGTGCTGCCTCCCAGGGTCTGCATTAGCTGGAAGCTGGAGCTGGGAAGTGAACCAGGCTTTCTGGTGTGGGATGCAAGCCTGGTAGATGGTAGGCCAAATGCATGCCTCTCCCCATACTTGTGATTGATTACATTTGCCTGCTTTTGAGGACCTGTAATATGAATACTTGGTGGCTGAACGTAAAAAGGAGTAAGAAGAGATTAAAGCTGGAAATTCTGGGGGTCCGGGGCCTTTTTTGAAAGACTTATTCGAAAGGCAGAGTTACAGAGCAAGAGAGAGGGAGAGACAGAGAGAGATCTTCCATCCACTGGTTCACTCCGCAAATGGTCGCAACAGCCAGAGCTGGGCCAATTGGAGCCCAGGAGCTTCTTCCAGGTCTCCCATGTGGGTGCAAGGGCCGAAGCACTTGGGCCACCTCCACTGCTTTCCTGGGTGCGTAAGCAAGGAGCTGGATCAGAAGTGAAGTAGCCTGGACTCACAGGCACAGGGCTGTTTTAAAATGCAGGAGCCACAAGCCTCTCATGGCCACTCCTATCACCATGGGATTAAGTCTCTTTTTCACAGTCAGACATGCAGCTGGAGGGAGAGGGGTTTTAGAGAAAACCTAATGAATTCAAGAGCCATTTTTCTACAGGGGAAGAAACAGGCTCAGAGGAGGAGGAAAGGGTTTGCTTACTGTCACTGAGCTGGTAAAGGGGCAGGGAATTAAAGTCGGATTTCCTGCACCTGGGATCCTGGGCTGCGCTTGCCCAGCCTCCTAACAGTGAGGGGTACAGACTTCAGCAATTTGCAGAACGCCCGCTGGTTGTGACTGTGTTGGGGGCAGTGGTTGGGGAGCCGGCGTAGGTTTCTTGTCCCCGCGAGACCTGGCTGTAGGTTCATCGTCTCCAGTTTGAAAGAAGCCAACCGCCACAACAGCTCAGTCCTTACTCCTCTCTGGGATTTACTGTGATTGCTCCGAATCCAGTGTTCAGCTGACCCCCTCCTTCGGGCCTAACCCCTAGTGGCAGGCACTTCCTCGGAACACCTGCCCCCCGCGGACGCCTGCAAGCCCCAGCCCACCGAGGACTGGGTCCTGAAGCCCGGCCGGGGTAAATATATGGAGGCCACAGCCCCTCCCCCCCGCCCCCCTCCCCCCCGCCATAGTTCTGCTGTGGCACCTGCAGGAGGCAAGAGCCCTGTTCGCTCCAGAGGGCCCTCAGAACCCGGCCAGAAATCGATTTCTCAGCGAGGTACTGGGAGGGGCCAGTAAAAAGGCGTCGTGCCACTTCGCGCATCCAGATCCCCTCCCAGCCGGAGGTGCCAGAACCGATCTTCTAGGGGCTGGGGGTGGGAGGAAAGCACAGGTGGGCGGAGGTGCGTGCAGGTCCGCGTGGGCCGGTGGAGTTGGGCGGCGCGCAGGCGCACTGGGCCCCCTGGCCGGCTCCGGGCTCGCGGGTACAAAGAGCGCCGCGCAGTGCGGGGGCCGCCTTCGAGTCTCCGGGAGCTGCCCTGGGCTCCTCCGGTGCGCGCCGGCTCTCCGGTGCGCTTCCGTAGGGTTTTTGGGGCCCGCCCTCCTCCCCGAACTTCTCCGCCCTGGCGGTGGCCGCATTGCCTGGCGGCGCCTTGCGTTTCGGGGTTTAATTCTGGCGCTCGCCAGCCGGGCCGACTCCACCCCCTGCGCCCCGCCCCTGCCGAGCCCCGGAGCTGCAGCCGAGCTCCGGAGCAGCAGCCGAGCCTGGAGCGAGCGTCCGGCGCACCCGCAAGTTGGGAGCAGCGGTTGGAGGTGAGTGCCTCTCGGGACTGCGCTGCACCCCTTTCCCCGGCGGGGCCGGCCCGGGCAGGCATTACGGCTTGTGAGCTCCCCGGCCGGTCCCGGCAAACTTGGCGCACGGCGGCCGTGGCGGTGCCGGAGTTCAGCCCCTGCGGGCTCCTAGCGTCCGCGTTCCCCCGGCGGTTTCGGCGGCCCTCGGGAGGGGTTCGAGACGTTGCTTCTGCCCCGCTTCTGAGGACGCGAGCGCGGCGTATTCGGATCCCGGAGGCTGGCGGGAGGGTGCGGCGCCTGACGACCCCAAGCCGGGGCGCGCAGGTCCCTGGGTGCTTCTGGGCCCTTTTCAAGCCCGGCGTGGGTTGGGGCACCCTCTCTGAGGCGTCTCCGCTAAGTTGGATGCTTTGCTCTGCGGGAAGAGTGGCGGTCCCGATCCCTTTATGCTGCGTCCCAGAGCGGCAGGTGGCCTCGGGTCGCACTCAGCCAACCCCGGGATGGCTCCGACCCAAGTTGCAGGGGTCTGGAGGTGGGGGAGGGGTGCGGGAGCAACTGTGCCCGGTGCCTTTTGGGGACCGCGCAGCCCACTGGGCCGGCGTACGTTTCCGGAGGCTCCTTGGGGTCAGGGCAGGGCTGCACGCGTCTTGAGGTGGACGTGGTCTCTGAATGCCGCCGCGTCCCTGGCCCCCTCGCAAACACGCAGGGAGCCCCGTGTTCCCCGCAGCCGCCCCCCTTGACTCTCCATCCGCCTCCAGCCAAGTTCCCTGGGAACTTTGAGAGGCGCCTCTTGATGGCTGCGGCAGGTCGGCAGGAGCTGCGCCGCCGCGCGCACTGGTGACCTAGGGAGGCCTTGGCCGTGCTAGCGCTGCAGCGATCTATGGCGTCCCCCAGCGCTCGTCTGACTAACGAATTGTCTCTGAGACAGCAGGAAGGTGAGTCCGCCACGTTTGTAATCTTAAGCCCTTTAGCCCGTCTTCATGCCCTCACCACCTGAGCTGGGTGGAAATGGGGATCTGTTTGTTGACTTTTAAGTCCTGAGTTTATTCCATCTCCTCGTTTCGCCTTCCATCCAACTTTGCTAGGATGTGGAGTATTCCTACCTCTTACATATTGGTAAAATTGAAGAGGTTGGCTTTGTCGCTGTGGGTTAAAGTGTCTTATAACGGATGCTTACCTCCCAGATTGGGGTGTGTGGGCTTGATTCCCAGCTCTGGTTCCTGATGCAGCTTTCTGCCAGTGCGGACCCTGGGAGACAGTAGTGATGGCACAAGGACTTGGGTCCCTGCCAGCCACGTGGCAGATCTGGATTGAGTTCCTGGCACCGTCTTCAACCAGTCCCAGATACTGCAGGCATTGGGGGGTGAACCAGCAGATGGAGGAGCTCTCTTGCACTCTCAAATAAGTCCATCAAAGTTTAAAAAAAAATAAGGTGTAATACATATACATAAATTTACTCTTTGATTCAGTGACTTTTACTATAGTCACACAATGATGCCATCATCACCACCATCTAATTCCTGAATGCTTTCATCACCTCCCCCCAAAACCATCCCGATCAGTGGTCCTTCCCCATTCCACCTCCTCCAGCCCTACTTCCACATTTGAATTTGGCCCCTTGGGACGTTTTTCCATGGTGTAGGTTGAATGAGACAGTAGAGATGATTAACTTGAGTCCTTTTTCTGTAGACAGATTTGGGAAAGAAAAATTCAGCCTGGACTGTTGTTTGGGGGAGGTGAGGAGGATGAAGAGGATGAAGGCAGAGCTGCTGGCAGGGGAATAATCATTGCCTTCAAAGACACAGATGGGGAATGCGTTTCATTCCCTTAGGGCACAGGTGTGCTTTTGGGCTCCTCAGCGCTCCTTGCCTGGTCCTCAGATCACCAGATTGGGGTTCTGCCTCAGCGACAGTGAGTTCTGGAGTGTGAGGATGTGCTGGGAATGAGGCTGTGCTGTTAGAGGAGTTGTGGGCTTTTAGAAAGTATTTGTAAAAATCGTTCAGACTAGGCCGGCGCTGCGGCTCACTAGGCTAATCCTCCGTCTAGCGGCGCCGGCACACCGGGTTCTAGTCCCGGTTGGGGCACTGGATTCTGTCCCGGTTGCCCCTCTTTACCAGGCAAGGCCCTCCTGCTGTGGTCCAGGGGAGGTGCAGTGGGAAGGGATTGGGCCCCAGGTGCCTTGAGCGGCCCAGGTGCTTGGGCCCTGACCCAGGAGGAAAGGCACCCTGGCCTCCCTGGCTCCCTGGCCATCGGATCCACGCGCCGGGTGGGGCCCGGCCGCAGCGCGCCGGCCGCGGCGGCCATTGGAGGGTGAACCAACGGCAAAGGAAGACCTTTCTCTCTGTCTCTCTCTCTCACTGTCCACTCTGCCTGTCAAAAAAAAAAAAAATCGTTCAGACTGGCCCCGAGGAACGAACCCCTTGACAGCTGGCCACAGAAGCTGGTATGTTCAGGAGTAGGTTCCTTTCGTGGGCATCACCGTTTGTGCACATGTAGCTCTGTGAGTTGGTGTGGGGAGATATTATTAGCCCCGGGAGGAGGGAGCGGATGGGACAGGGTCTTATTGGAGGAAATGCCAGGGGTTAGGGAAGGTGCGGGGGGATGGCTGAAAGGGGCAGTGCCCATGGGTGCTGTTGCTAAGTAACTAAAGTAACTACAGTGCTAGCAGATTCGGAAGCAGTGTGTGGGTCTCAGGTGCACTTGATGTAGCCTTTGCATTACTTATAGAATTGTGTACGTTATAAAAATCCTAGTGAGCAGAATTGAAGTTATCCAAATGATGAATTAATTGCCACACTTCTCATTCATTCTGTAGTCAAAAACTCATGTTGGTTTCATAGTTCCAGGAAATGTTAGATCTGTTCTATGGGAAGCTTGGTTTATGCTATCAATTTTTTTAAAAAAATATTGATTTACTTGAAAGTCAGAGTTACACAGAGAATGTGAGGCAGAGAGGGCTTCCGTCCACTAGTTCACTCCCCAATTGGTGTCAACAGCCAGAGCTGCACCGATCCGAAACTAGGATCCAGGAGCTTCTTCTGGGTCTTTCCACGTGAGTGCAGGGGCCCAAGGACTTGGGCCATCTTCTACTGCTTTTCCAGGCCATAGCAGAGAGCTGGATTGGAAGTGGAGCAGCCGGGACTCGAACAGTCACCCATATGGGATGCTGGCACTGCAGGAGGTGGCTTTACCTGCTCCACCACAGCACTGGCACCAGTGATAACAATTTTTAAAAGTTTTTTTTAAACTTGATCATATTTGCACATCTTCAGTTTATACCTTCCCACATTGTTAAAGTAAATATGAACACATACCCAGTGTCCAGATCAAGGAACGGAACGTGGCCAGTGTGTAGCATCTACCCTCACTGCCATGTGTCACTTCATACTATTTTCCAGTCATCACTCCTCCATAGGATAACTGTAAGCCAAGCATAGGTTAGTTATGCATTTTTATGGACTTTATATATGCATGAAATGGTACACTGTGTATTTTGCATATAATTTTCTTCTCTCAACTAGGTTTTTTTTTTTCCTTTTTAAAGATTTACTTATTTGAAAGTCAGAGTTAGAGAAGGAGAGGCAGAGAGAGAGAGGTCTTCCATCTGCTGGTTCACTCCCCAATTGGCTGCAATGACCTGAGCTGTGCTGATCCAAAGCCAGGAGCTTTTTCTGGGTCTCCGATGCAGGTTATGGGGAACTGAGGACTTGGGCCATCTTCCACTGCTTTCCCAGGCCATAGCAGAGAGCTGCATGGGAAGTGGAGCAGCCAGGACTAGAACCGGCACCCAATTGGGATGCTGGCACTGCAGGTGGTGGCTTTACTCACTACGCCACAGCGCCAGCCCCTCAAGTAGGTTTATAAGACTTAGTTTTGTGGTTGATTATGGCTATAGTTCCATCATTTTCTTTGTATAATATTTTATTTGATACCATGCCACAATTTATCCAGTCTAGAGTTGAAGGGGATCTGAGTAGTTTTCAGGTTTATCTATGACAGATCACATAATTTTGGACACTCTGGTACATGTCTTGATATATGTGAGCACATTTACATGGAGTATATAGTCAAGAGAATTTTAAACCAGTATTCAGTTTAGGAGATACTATCAAATAGAGGAGTTGGTTGGTTAGTGTGTACTTCTAGCTGTAGTATATTAGAATTCTTCCCTATCCTTTTTAAATTATAGAGACACTGGGGTTGACGTTGTCGCATAGCAGGTTAAACCACAGTCTGCAATGCCAACATCCCTTGTGGACACCAGTTTGAGTCCCAGCTGCTCCACTTCTGATCCAATTCCCTGCTAATGGCCTGGGAAAAGCAGCAGATGATGGCCCAACTCCTTGAGCTCCTGCCCCCATGGGGGAGAACTGGAAGAAGCTCTTGGCTCCTGCCTTCATCCTGGTCCAACCCTGGCCGATGTACCCATCTAGGGAGTGAACCAGCAGATGGAAGACCTCTCTCTCTGTTTCTATAACTATGACTTTCAGATAAATATAAAATTTAAAAAAAGTCTGTGGAAACAGATATAGTGAGAATTGGATAAATAGACAATGAAACCCACCTTTATCTCCCTGTTAACAGAATATAACTTGCAGTGCCTTTGTGTGTTCATATTTTTATGGAATGCCAATTATAATATTGAATTTTGTTATGTTTCTTAACATGGTATCTTAATATTGCTTTAGTTTCTGTGACTTTTTAAAAAGATTTATTTGAAAGGCAGAGCAACAGAGCGTGAGGGAGAGACAGAAAAAGAAAAGGAAATCTTTCACTCGCTGATCACATCTGCAAGGGATGGGGCCGTGTTGAAGCCCAGAACTCCATGCAGGTCTGCCATGTGGGATGATAAGAGTCCAAGAATTTGGGCAATTTTCCTCTTCCTTGCCAGGAACATAAGTGGGAAGCTTGATTGGAAATAGAGCAGCTAGGACTCAAACTAGACACTTGAGTAAGGGATGCCACTTTTGGGAGCTGTGGCTGACCCACTATGCCACACTGTCAGCCCCTTCTTGACTTTTTAA